CCATACAAGTACAAGAGAAATCATTTGCTGGCGAGAAATGGGAGGATAAAGTCAACGAGTTAAGAAAACGTTTACATCATCATAATTGTGATGCCATGATTGTAACGTCATTGACAGAAATTGCCTATTTGCTTAATATCAGAGGCACAGATATACCCTATACACCAGTAGTTAAGGTTATATTACTCATTTATAATTAAAAATTAAAATTCGTTTAACAGTTTCTTTTTTTTTTTTAAATTTTAGTCATACTTGATTGTCAGCCATCAGGATATATTCTTTTATGTGGATCGTTATAAAATCAGTTTGGGTATAGACTTGCATCTACATACCGATTGTTTCAACGAAATGTGTGTTAAGTAAGTATTTAAACGTTATTCTTTTTTTACGAAAAATTATTTACACATAAGATTTCAATGTGTGAAATTACTTCTTATTTACTCAATATTTGCTGATAAGTGGGTATGGTTGTGACTAAGACCAATTATATAATTTAGCGACATTATTGTTATTTAAAAGATTGCACCATTTATGTCTAGCCGAGTTCACGAAGATAACTTGAGTGATATTATTACTGTTTTAATTTTTGGATTAGAGTCAATTATTCAGGTATTCATCTGACCTAATTTGATAGATTTGCCAAGAATTGCTTGAATTTTAGGGAATGGTTTCGGCATCCGTCCTAAGATAGGATTAATGCACGATATTGACAATATTGTCGTAATTTAGAATTTTTCCAATTTTTAATTTCTTTCTTCCTAATTTTTCATTGTTATAACTTTTTTAATTTTAAAAGATTTTAAAGTGTAATAAATTTTGTAAAATTATTTGACTTCCAAACTATTACTTTTGGACATAAGCCTTTATATCTTTAAAAACATTTTGAACCTTTTTTTTACAAAAAAGGTAAAAATTTCCCAAAAATTTGGTAGTTAATAGACCGTAACTCCGTGGCGGTGTGCCACACCCATATACGAAATACTCGTTAAAATTACAATATATGCGAAACTTCAGCTAGTACTGACAACTTCGACATCTATGTGCATAAACATTTTAAGGAAAAAGTAGACGGACTAGCATTAGCGGACGTGGCATCTCCCATATTAGTCAAATACTAAATTTGGTATATCTAGGAATAACAGCTGCCGTCCTGAAATTTTGTCAACTTTGACATCCGTATAAACTTTTTAGAAAAAATTGGCATACTAGCATTAGTGGGCCTGGCAACTCCCATATAAATCAAATCAAAATTAAAAATCGTATATTTGGGAACTATAACAGCTAGAGTGACCAAATATTGTACTTGTAACTTAAGTATTAATATGAATTTTTAGGGGAAAATGGGCGGTGCAGAATCAGTGGGTGTGATATCTCTCATATTAATAAAATTCTAAAATCTGCATATGTTAGAAAGTATAACAGCTATAGTCCTCAAATTTTTGCCATTTCAACTTTGACATTGATATGAACAATTAGGGTAAAAATGGGTGAATAAGATAAATCAGATAAATTAAATACTAAAATTCATATATCTGGGATACTATAACAGCTAGAGTCACCAAAATTTGTTGTGGGGGTTACTTATTCCATATGAAAAAGATTCAAAAATTCGGTTATCTGGAAAACTTTTAGTTATGCATTTTTGACCGCCACCGCCATCTCGTAGAATGGTCCACTTTGCGTCCTAAGATAGAATTTATGGTCTATATTAACAATACTGTTGCTTAATTTTTTAACTATCACAAATGACAGACACCACACTTTCTGGAGACGAATGATATATACATATCTTTTTATTCCAGAATAAAAGAATATCATCAAGTTTGGAATGATATACGTACTTATTCGCAAGTATGGAAGCGTGTATTAGTACCAGCTCCATGTGTACAAGAGCCCGGATCCTCAGAAGCTGTATTTTCCTCATTTCCCTTAAAAATAGTTTTCGAACATATATCCCCCATAATTATGATGAGAGCCCAAAAGAACTCAGTGGAACAAAAGGGCATGCGCACGGCTCATATTAGAGATGGTGCTGCTCTCTGTGAAGCCATGAGTAATTTAGAATTAAGAGTAAGAAAGAAAGCAATACATACATACATTTATTTATTATAAAATTATTAAACATTATACAATTTCCAGTTCTTTAGCGAACCATGGACCGAGGAAAAAATCAAATACGAAATAGAACGTTCTCGTTTATCGCAAAAATCTGTCAAAGGTTTATCTCTACGCTCTGTGGTGGCCTTTGGTGAACATTCTTCTTATCCTTATTATATTTCCAGTAATGTTACCGATATCGAGGTAACCGATCAAAATTTGTTAGTTATAGAATCAGGCAGTCAGTATTATGATGGCACTACCGATGTTTCAAGAACATTTATATTTGGTGAACCAACGGCGGATATGAAACAAGCCTATACAAATGTTTTGGCCGGTATTTTAAGATTAGCACACTTAAAGATTCCCTCCGATTTGAAATTATCCGAAATTGATGCTCTGGTAAGAGGTCCAGTGTGGTCATCAATGAATGATTATCCACAGGCTACAGGTCATGGTATTGGAGCTTATGGTGCTGTACAAGAACGTAAGTAGAGAAATGAATTGAAATTTTTCTGAAATGGCTTTCATTTTTTGTATTATTTCTTATAGCTCCTATTGCTGTAGCCTATGGACATGATAGTCGTTTTCATTTTAAAGAAGGTTATTTCTTTTCAAGTGGTAAGTATTATGTTAGTGACAGTATTCTTGGATAGATTGCTAATATTTTATTGGCTATTATTAGAATCTGGTTATTATAAAAATGGTGAATATGGTGTACGTTTGAAGAACGTTTTAGAAGTTAAAGATACTGGCCGCAAACATCCTTCCGGAGCAGAATTTTTAGCATTCCATGATGTAACACTGGTACCTTACGAACCAAAACTAATTGATAGTACAATGTTAAGTGCCTTAGAGGTAAATATATTTTAAAATAAGCTATATAAAACTGTATTCTACTGATTCCGTTTTTTTTTTTTCCAGAAACGTTGGCTTAATGAGTACAATGCCAAAATTCGCCAATATGTTGGCGATGAACTAAAGCGTCAGGGTAATATGCAGGCCTTTTACTGGATGATGAATAAAACTCGTCATATACGTGAATATTTACCCGAAGAAGAATATCGAGCTGCCACAGGATCTGGTACACGTACTCGTGCCTTTTTAACCATTACTGTACCGGCCATACTATTGGGATTAACGGTATTTGGTAGTTTTTTACGTTGGCTACTTTAGAATAAGTTTTTTAATTAGTTTTCTTTTTTATTTAATGTAGTTTAAATATTTAGCATAATGATTATTTCAAATTTCATTTGTTTTAAACATTTTAAATGAAAGTGAATAAAATTAATATTAAGCTAAGGTAGCTTAATTGTGAGACTTAGAAAATTACTTAATTATGTAAAATTGGGACCAACTAAGCTGGGAATTTAAAACTGAAGAATCTGTTACTAATGTAAATTAGATTATAATAATTCTAATAATCTTAATAATAATGTTAGTTAGAATAAACCATTTTTACGATAAACGAATTGTATGCATAAGTTTATAATTTTTATTTTTGTAATGTAAATTTAGTAATTAATTTTGTAATTAAGTTTTGCGAATTACTTAAAATGTATTATTATTTCAGAAAGAAAAAAAATATTGAAATTATTGAGTTTTATTTTAAAATAAATTATCAGAAATAAGTTGGAAATTATATTAAATTTTAAAGCAAACCTCGAATGCTTGCAGTTATACTTTGCAAAAATTTGGATGGACAGTGTTGTTAAATTAATCAATATTAATTAATTGTTAATTTCCTTTTTAAAACAGTTATCAAATTGTCAAAAGAAAAAAACTTGTAATTCCGAGATTTTCTTTATCAATTTCTATAAAACCAGTAAAAGTTCTACATGCGGCAGTGTCGATGCTTTAATTCCCTTCACCATAGTTATTTAATTTTAATAATTAAATAATATTTTTTTAATTTTTGGTAGGTATATTTTTGATTGATTTCAACAAGCATACAGGCATCTCTAAATTCATGTCAAGTGACCCAACTTTTGAAAGCGATGTTATCCGATCGGAGTAGTTTAGACACAAGATGATCGGTGTTACAATCGTTCAAAGTTTGACATTTTTGACAAACATGTATTTCTTTCCATTTATGTAACTTATTGCCAATTGTTCTTAGTAAAAGTTGTTCCAAATAGATGGCTATTTCTTTTGAGAGCGATGTTATCTGATCGGAGTAGTTTAGACACAACAAAATCGGTCGAGAACCCTCTGAGTTACAATCGGTCAAAGTTTGAAATTTTTGACAAGCATGTATTTATTTTCATTTATGTAACTTATTGCCTATTGTTCTTAGCAAAAGTTGTTCCAAATACATAGCTTGGATGGCGATGTTATCCGATCGGAGTAGTTTAGACACAACATGATCGGTCGATAACCCTCTGAGTTACAATCAGTCAAAGTTTGAAGTTTTGCCTATCTTAGCAAAAGTTGTTCCAAATACATAGCTTAGATGGCTATTTCTTCAATATTTAGAAAGTTCTTTGCCGATATTGTAGAAAAATTGTGTCTAACATACTTTTAAATAGGATTATCATTGGTGCAAATTTCATCCCGGGTTTCATCAGAAGACATAGTTTTCCTTCTCACCGAATTAAAAGTCATAAAAATTGCAAACAATATCTTGAACAGTAGGAAATATATTATTTAACCGGAAAACTATTATCACACAAACAAAAAATTAAAAGTAGAATCTCAGATTTCTGTTATAATTTATGGTAGAGTTAATGAAAAAGTCGGCCAAAACAAACGGAAAACTGTTTGTGGTTAAAAATTATATATGACTCACAAACGATTCTAATGACGATTTCCTTTCTGACACTTAATGCTGTATGTAACATGTTATATATATATTTATTTTTCACAAAAGAACAGTGCGATAAGAAATAGACTATATATACGAATGCATTTTATTAATTCTATCGCAGTCTTAAAAAGCAGCATTAAGCGTTTATATTTATATCCAAAAAATAATACAAGAAAAATGTTTAAATTCAATAAACTTTTTGTGGTAATTTTAATTGCAGCGATAGCCATCGTCACTTCCAAAACTAATGCTATCGAGTTAACCGATGTTGAAAAGAGTGTTAAAGACACAAGACCAGCTGAGGCTGCTGTCTTAACACAGCTGAAAGTAATACAATCTAAATCTGATAATGCCATTTACAACTATAAATGTACTGTTGGTACTAACCTATCAAGTAAGTTTTGGAAATTATACCTTATTACGTTTTGTATGCGAGTTAATATTAAAAAACCTATAATTTTAGATCGATTGATTTGTACTGCTTCTGATAACAATTCTTGGAACTCTGCACAAAATGTTGAATTAAAATTACGCTGTCCCAAAAATGGCAGTGGTCCGACAGTGTCTTATGTTGAAATCAATTTTTCGGTATCATCTCCAAGTGTAAATTGTTATGTTCATGAGGGAGCTATTGGTTTGGGTTACATTGGTGTAACCGTTAATGCTTGGAGTACTTTGATATTTAATTATTTGGCAAATTTTTATACCTACCAATCGGTTTAGGATTTTAATATGGAAAATAAGGCAATTCGATTTTTTAACATCTTTTTTCAATTGTTGATATGGTGAACGATTTGTGATGATTGCACACAATTCTCAGAATTGCATTAAATATATATTATTACTATTATTAAAAATCCTTAATATATTTTAAAATTGATTAACTAAGATTTTTATGTCCTAATTAGGATTCTTAAAAATAATAAAAATTTTCAATAATTGATAAATCGACTTTTTTTTTTTTTTTGAAAAGGTACTTTTTAAAGCATTATTTAACCTTGTTAGTTTGTTACTGAATTTTCTACCAGTTCCCGTAGCGTAGGCCGAACGCCCATCAAATTTTTACATTTGGATCTTATATATAAGATCCAAATATTAAAGTTTTAAATTTACAGACGTTGCGAGCCAGAAAATGGACTTTTATGTTTTCACTAAAAAATCGAATTTTGTTAAGAAATAAAAGTGATCACAGATTTTAATCCTTTTTACCATAGGGCCTTCCGCTTAGCCAGAAAATTGACTTTTATGTTTTCACTAAAAAATCGAATTTTGGTGGCAAATAAAAGTGATCACAGATTTTAATCCTTTTTGCCCTAGGGCATTCCGTTTAGCCAGAATGTTGATTTTTATGTTTACACTCAAATATTGAATTTTGGTGGGAAATAAAAGTGATCACAGATTTTAATCCTTTTTGCCCTAGGGTCTTCCGTTTAGCCAGAAAATTGACTTCTATGTTTTCACTTAAATATTGAATTTTGTTGGGAAATAAAAGTGATCACAGATTTCAATGCTTTTTGTCCTAGGGCCTTCCGTTTAGCCAGAAAATGGACTTTTATGTTTTCATTAAAAAATCTAATTTTGTTGGGAAATAAAAGTGATCACAGATTTTAATCCTTTTTGTCCTAGGGCCTTCTGTTTAGCCAGAAAATGGACTTTTATGTTTTCACAAAAAAATCGAATTTTTGTGGAAAATAAAAGTGATCACAGATTTTAATCCTTTTTGTCCTAGGGCCTTCTGTTTAGCCAGAAAATGGAATTTTATGTTTTCACTAAAAAATTGAATTTTGTTGGGAAATAAAAGTGATCACAGATTTTAATCCTTTTTGTCCTAGGGCCTTCCGTTTAGCCAGAAAATGGACTTTTATGTTTTCACTAAAAAATAGAATTTTTGTGGGAAATAAAAGTGATCACAGATTTTAATCCTTTTTGTCCTAGGGCCTTCTGTTTAGCCAGAGAATGGAATTTTATGTTTTCACTAAAAAATTGAATTTTGTTGGGAAATAAAAGTGATCACAAATTTTAATCCTTTTTGTCCTATGGCCTTCCGTTTAGCCAGAAAATGGACTTTTATGTTTTCACTAAAAAATTGAATTTTTGTGAGAAATAAAAGTGATCACAGATTTTAATCCTTTTTGTCCTAGGGCCTTCCGTTTAGCCAGAAAATGGACTTTTATGTTTTCACAAAAAAATCTAATTTTTGTGGGAAATAAAAGTGATCACAGATTTTAATCCTTTTTGACCTAGGGCCTTCCGTTTAGCCAGAAAATGGACTTTTATGTTTTTACAAAAAAATCGAATTTTTGTGGGAAATAAAAATGATCACAGATTTTAATCCTGTGTTCACAGATTTTAATCCTTTTTGTCCTAGGGCCTTCCTTATTACGTTTTGTATGCGAGTTAATATTAAAAAACCTATAATTTTAGATCGATTGATTTGTACTGCTTCTGATAACAATTCTTGGAACTCTGCACAAAATGTTGAATTAAAATTACGCTGTCCCAAAAATGGCAGTGGTCCGACAGTGTCTTATGTTGAAATCAATTTTTCGGTATCATCTCCAAGTGTAAATTGTTATGTTCATGAGGGAGCTATTGGTTTGGGTTACATTGGTGTAACCGTTAATGCTTGGAGTACTTTGATATTTAATTATTTGGCAAATTTTTATACCTACCAATCGGTTTAGGATTTTAATATGGAAAATAAGGCAATTCGATTTTTTAACATCTTTTTTCAATTGTTGATATGGTGAACGATTTGTGATGATTGCACACAATTCTCAGAATTGCATTAAATATATATTATTACTATTATTAAAAATCCTTAATATATTTTAAAATTGATTAACTAAGATTTTTATGTCCTAATTAGGATTCTTAAAAATAATAAAAATTTTCAATAATTGATAAATCGACTTTTTTTTTTTTTTGAAAAGGTACTTTTTAAAGCATTATTTAACCTTGTTAGTTTGTTACTGAATTTTCTACCAGTTCCCGTAGCGTAGGCCGAACGCCCATCAAATTTTTACATTTGGATCTTATATATAAGATCCAAATATTAAAGTTTTAAATTTACAGACGTTGCGAGCCAGAAAATGGACTTTTATGTTTTCACTAAAAAATCGAATTTTGTTAAGAAATAAAAGTGATCACAGATTTTAATCCTTTTTACCATAGGGCCTTCCGCTTAGCCAGAAAATTGACTTTTATGTTTTCACTAAAAAATCGAATTTTGGTGGGAAATAAAAGTGATCACAGATTTTAATCCTTTTTGCCCTAGGGCATTCCGTTTAGCCAGAATGTTGATTTTTATGTTTACACTCAAATATTGAATTTTGGTGGGAAATAAAAGTGATCACAGATTTCAATGCTTTTTGTCCTAGGGCCTTCCGTTTAGCCAGAAAATGGACTTTTATGTTTTCATTAAAAAATCTAATTTTGTTGGGAAATAAAAGTGATCACAGATTTTAATCCTTTTTGTCCTAGGGCCTTCTGTTTAGCCAGAAAATGGACTTTTATGTTTTCACAAAAAAATCGAATTTTTGTGGAAAATAAAAGTGATCACAGATTTTAAACCTTTTTGTCCTAGGGCCTTCTGTTTAGCCAGAAAATGGAATTTTATGTTTTCACTAAAAAATTGAATTTTGTTGGGAAATAAAAGTGATCACAGATTTTAATCCTTTTTGTCCTAGGGCCTTCCGTTTAGCCAGAAAATGGACTTTTATGTTTTCACTAAAAAATAGAATTTTTGTGGGAAATAAAAGTGATCACAGATTTTAATCCTTTTTGTCCTAGGGCCTTCTGTTTAGCCAGAGAATGGAATTTTATGTTTTCACTAAAAAATTGAATTTTGTTGGGAAATAAAAGTGATCACAAATTTTAATCCTTTTTGTCCTATGGCCTTCCGTTTAGCCAGAAAATGGACTTTTATGTTTTCACTAAAAAATTGAATTTTGGTGGGAAATAAAAGTGATCACAGATTTTAATCCTTTTTGTCCTAGGGCCTTCCGTTTAGCCAGAAAATGGACTTTTATGTTTTCACTAAAAAATAGAATTTTTGTGGGAAATAAAAGTGATCACAGATTTTAATCCTTTTTGTCCTAGGGCCTTCTGTTTAGCCAGAGAATGGAATTTTATGTTTTCACTAAAAAATTGAATTTTGTTGGGAAATAAAAGTGATCACAAATTTTAATCCTTTTTGTCCTATGGCCTTCCGTTTAGCCAGAAAATGGACTTTTATGTTTTCACTAAAAAATTGAATTTTTGTGAGAAATAAAAGTGATCACAGATTTTAATCCTTTTTGTCCTAGGGCCTTCCGTTTAGCCAGAAAATGGACTTTTATGTTTTCACAAAAAAATCTAATTTTTGTGGGAAATAAAAGTGATCACAGATTTTAATCCTTTTTGACCTAGGGCCTTCCGTTTAGCCTTCCGTTTTACAAAAAAATCGAATTTTTGTGGGAAATAAAAATGATCACAGATTTTAATCCTGTGTTCACAGATTTTAATCCTTTTTGTCCTAGGGCCTTCCGTTTAGCCAGAAAATGGACTTTCATGTTTTCACTAAAAAATCTAATTTTTGTGGGAAATAAAAGTGATCACAGATTTTAATCCTTTTTGTTCTAGGGCCTTCCGTTTAGCCAGAAAATGGACTCTTATGTTCTCACTCAGAAATTGAATAAAAGTGATCACAGATTTTAATCCTTTTTGCCCTAGGGCCTTCCGTTTAGCCAGAAAATGGACTTTTATGTTTTCACTAAAAAATCTAATTTTGTTAGGAAATAAAAGTGATCACAGATTTTAATCCTTTTTGTCCTAGGGCCTTCCGTTTAACCAGAAAATGGACTTTTATGTTCTCACTCAAAAATTGAATTTCGGTGGCAAACAAAAGTGATCACGTTTAGCCAGAAAATGGACTTTTATGTTTTTACAAAAAAATCGAATTTTTGTGGGAAATAAAAATGATCACAGATTTTAATCCTGTGATCACAGATTTTAAGCCTTTTTGTCCTAGGGCCTTCAGTTTAGCCAGAAAATGGACTTTCATGTTTTTACTAAAAAATCTAATTTTTGTGGGAAATAAAAGTGATCACAGATTTTAATCCTTTTTGTCCTAGGGCCTTCTGTTTAGCCAGAGAATGGAATTTTATGTTTTCACTAAAAAATTGAATTTTGTTGGGAAATAAAAGTGATCACAAATTTTAATCCTTTTTGTCCTATGGCCTTCCGTTTAGCCAGAAAATGGACTTTTATGTTTTCACTAAAAAATTGAATTTTTGTGAGAAATAAAAGTGATCACAGATTTTAATCCTTTTTGTCCTAGGGCCTTCCGTTTAGCCAGAAAATGGACTTTTATGTTTTCACAAAAAAATCTAATTTTTGTGGGAAATAAAAGTGATCACAGATTTTAATCCTTTTTGACCTAGGGCCTTCCGTTTAGCCAGAAAATGGACTTTTATGTTTTTACAAAAAAATCGAATTTTTGTGGGAAATAAAAATGATCACAGATTTTAATCCTGTGTTCACAGATTTTAATCCTTTTTGTCCTAGGGCCTTCCGTTTAGACAGAAAATGGACTTTCATGTTTTCACTAAAAAATCTAATTTTTGTGGGAAATAAAAGTGATCACAAATTTTAATCCTTTTTGTCCTAGGGCCTTCCGTTTAGCCAGAAAATGGACTTTTATGTTTTCATTAAAAAATGGAATTTTGTTGGGAAATAAAAGTGATCACAGATTTTAATCCTTTTTGACCTAGAGCCTTCCGTTTAGCCAGAGAATGGACTTTTATGTTTTCACTAAAAATTGAGTTTTTGTGAGAAATAAAAGTGATCACAGATTTTAATCCTTTTTGTCCTAGGGCCTTCCGTTTAGCCAGAAAATGGACTTTTATGTTCTCACTCAGAAATTGAATAAAAGTGATCACAGATTTTAATCCTTTTTGCCCTAGGGCCTTTCGTTTAGCCAGAAATGGAAAATCCTTTTTGTCCTAGGGCCTTCCGTTTAGCCAGAAAATGGACTTTTATGTTTTCACTAAAAAATCGAATTTTTGTGGGAAATAAAAGTGATCACAGATTTTAATCCTTTTTACCCTCGGGCCTTCCGTTTAGCCAGAAAATGGACTTTTGTATTTTCACTAAAAAATTGAATTTTTGTGGGAAATAAAAGTGATCACAGATTTTAATCCTTTTTGTTCTAGGGCCTTCCGTTTAGCCAGAAAATGGACTCTTATGTTCTCACTCAGAAATTGAATAAAAGTGATCACAGATTTTAATCCTTTTTGCCCTAGGGCCTTCCGTTTAGCCAGAAAATGGACTTTTATGTTTTCACTAAAAAATCTAATTTTGTTAGGAAATAAAAGTGATCACAGATTTTAATCCTTTTTGTCCTAGGGCCTTCCGTTTAACCAGAAAATGGACTTTTATGTTCTCACTCAAAAATTGAATTTCGGTGGCAAACAAAAGTGATCACAGATTTTAATCCTTTTTACCCTAGGGCCTTCCGTTTAGCCAGAAAATGGACTTTTATGTTTTTACAAAAAAATCGAATTTTTGTGGGAAATAAAAATGATCACAGATTTTAATCCTGTGATCACGGATTTTAATCCTTTTTGTCCTAGGGCCTTCAGTTTAGCCAGAAAATGGACTTTCATGTTTTTACTAAAAAATCTAATTTTTGTGGGAAATAAAAGTGATCACAGATTTTAATCCTTTTTGTCCTAGGGCCTTCCGTTTAGCCAGAAAATGGACTTTTATGTTTTCACTAAAAAATTGAATTTTGGTGAGAATCAAAAGTGATCACAGATTTTAATCCTTTTTACCCTCGGGCCTTCCGTTTAGCCAGAAAATTGACTTTTATGTTTTCACTAAAAATTGAATTTTGGTGGGAAATAAAAGTGATCACAGATTTTAATCCTTTTTGCCCTAGGGCCTTCCGTTTAGCCAGAAAATGGACTTTTGTGTTTTCACTAAAAAATCTAATTTTTGTGGGAAATAAAAGTGATCACAGATTTTAATCCCTTTTGTCCTAGGGCCTTCCGTTTATCCAGAAAATGGACTTTTATGGTTTCACTAAAAAATCGAATTTTGGTGGGAAATAAAAGTGATCACAGATTTTAATCCTCTTTGTCCTACGGCCTTCCGTTTAGCCAGAAAATGGACTTTTATGTTCTCACTAAAAAATTTTATTTATGTGGGAAATAAAAGTGATCACAGATTTTAATTCTTTTTGTCCTAGGGCCTTCCGTTTAGCCAGAAAATGGACTTTTATGTTTTCACTAAAAAATCGAATTTTGTTGGAAAATAAAAGTGATCACAGATTTTAATCCCTTTTGTCCTAGGGCCTTCCGTTTAGGCAGAAAATGGACTTTTATGTTTTCACTAAAAAATCGAATTTTGTTGGAAAATAAAAGTGATCACAGATTTTAAGCCTTTTTGTCCTAGGGCCTTCCGTTTAGCCAGAAAATTGACTTTTATGTTTTCACAAAAAAATCGAATTTTGTTGGAAAATAAAAGTGATCACAGATTTTAATCCTTTTTGTCCTAGGGCTTTCCGTTTAGTTAGAAAATGGATTTTTATGTTTTCACTAAAATATCGAGCCAGAAAATGGACTTTTATGTTTTCACTAAAAAATCGAATTTTGTTGGAAAATAAAAGTGATCACAGATTTTAAGCCTTTTTGTCCTAGGGCCTTCCGTTTAGGCAGAAAATGGACTTTTATGTTTTCACTAAAAAATCGAATTTTGTTGGGAAATAAAAGTGATCACAGATTTTAAGCCTTTTTGTCCTAGGGCCTTCCGTTTAGCCAGAAAATGGACTTTTATGTTTTCACTAAAAAATCGAATTTTGTTGGAAAATAAAAGTGATCACAGATTTTAAGCCTTTTTGTCCTAGGGCCTTCCGTTTAGGCAGAAAATGGACTTTTATGTTTTCACTAAAAAATCGAATTTTGTTGGGAAATAAAAGTGATCACAGATTTTAAGCCTTTTTGTCCTAGGGCCTTCCGTTTAGCCAGAAAATGGACTTTTATGTTTTCACTAAAAAATCGAATTTTGTTGGGAAATAAAAGTGATCACAGATTTTAATCCTTTTTGTCTTAGGGCTTTCCGTTTAGCTAGAAAATAGATTTTTATGTTTTCACTAAAAAATCGAATTTTGTTGGAAAATAAAAGTGATCACAGATTTTAATCCTTTTTGTCCTAGGGCCTTCCGTTTAGGCAGAAAATGGACTTTTATGTTTTCACTAAAAAATCGAATTTTGTTGGAAAATAAAAGTGATCACAGATTTTAAGCCTTTTTGTCCTAGGGCCTTCCGTTTAGCCAGAAAATGGACTTTTATGTTTTCACTAAAAAATCGAATTTTGTTGGGAAATAAAAGTGATCACAGATTTTAACCCTTTTTGCCCTAGGGCCTTCCGTTTAGGCAGAAAATGGACTTTTATGTTTTCACTAAAAAATCGAATTTTTGTGGGAAATAAAAGTGATCACAGATTTTAATCCCTTTTGCCCTAGGGCCTTCCGTTTAGCCAGAAAATGGACTTTTATGTTTTCACTAAAAAATTGAATTTTGTTGGAAAATAAAAGTGATCACAGATTTTAATCCTTTTTGTCCTAGGGCCTTCCGTTTAGCCAGAAAATGGACTTTTATGTTTTCACTAAGAAATCGAATTTTGATGGGAAATAAAAGTGATTACAGATTTTAATCCTTTTTACGCTAGGGCCTTCCGTTTAGTCAGAAAATGGACTTTTATGTTTTCACTAAAAAATCGAATTTTTGTGGGAAATAAAAGTGATCACAGATTTTAATCCCTTTTGTCCTAGGGCCTTCCGTTTAGCCAGAAAATGGACTTTTATGTTTTCACTAAAAAATCTAATTTTTGTGGGAAATAAAAGTGATCACAGATTTTAATCCCATTTGTCCTAGGGCCTTCCGTTAGCCAGAAAATGGACTTTTATGTTTTCACTAAAAAATCTAATTTTTGTGGGAAATAAAAGTGATCACAGATTTTAATCCTTTTTACCCTAGGGCCTTCCGTTTAGCCAGAAAATGGACTTTTATGTATTCGCTAACAAATTGAATTTTGTTGGGAAATAAAAGTGATCACAGATTTAAATCCTTTTTGTCCTAGGGCCTTCCGTTTAGCCACAAAATGTGGGAAATAAAAGAGATCACAGTCCTAGGGCCTTCCGTTTAACCGAATTTTTTGGGAAATAAAAGTGATCACAGATTTAAATCCTTTTTGCCGTAGCGCCTTCCGTTTAGCCAAAAAATTGACTTTTATGTTTTCACAAAAAAATTGAATTTTGGAAAATGGACTTTTATGTGCTCACTCAAAAATTTAATTTTGGTGGGAAATAAAAGTGATCATAGATTTTAATCCTTTTTGCCCTAGGGCCTTCCGTTCAGCCTTTAATTTTGGTGGGAGATAAAAGTGATCACAGATTTTAATCCTTTTTGCCCTAGGACCTTCCTTTTGGCCAGAAAATTGACTTTTATGTTTTCGTCATCTTAGATTTTCACTATTTTCTCCATTAGAGCGTTATTTATTGATCTATAAAAAAGCCCTAACGAAATGAAATAACTTCCTAACTTATAATGAAATTACACCCCATTTTTGGGGATTTATTTCATATAAAACAAATCCCTAATTTTAAAATGAGATAAGTTCCCATTTAAAAACAAGTAGGAAAGTCGGGCATGGCCGCCATATGATACCCTACACCACTGAGTATGTTATAAATTTGGATTATATTTAATAACAAAGCATTTAAGTTGTTTACCTTAATTCCGAAATATAACGGTGATCGGTTAATCGATGAATTTTTGTCGATTAATCGCTCGAATAAATGAAAAATGCCAAATTTTGAATAACGAATAAACCGAATAATTTCTATCAATTAACCGATTAATAAAAAATCACTTTTTAACATTGTAACATTGATATATATTTCATATAAAATTCAATATCTCCTTAAATTTATTTGATGATTTTAAATCAATTCTTCAGAAACATTTTAAGAATTTGTTCTGATTTACCTACTTCTAGAATGGGTTCACAATGAACACTGGTTCATTGGAACGTATGAATTCTGGAACTAGTTGAACAAATCTCAAAAAATTAAAATTAATTAACATAATTTTTTATATAGAAAAAGGATTCACATGAGAAGAAAAAAACATAAAAAATTGACATAGAATTGAACTCAAATATGTTAAAAATTATAAAATATTGTAAAAAGGCCATAAGAAAGATCCAGTTTCCTTCTTTTTATTTATTTGGTTAACCGAATAATTTTGAATTATCCGATTATTAACCGGCTAACATAAAACCTCAAATAATTATTTGTCGAATAAGCCGAATAATACAAAAACCCGAGTAATTGAACACTCTAGTATATAAGATTCGGTAAGAAATCTTACTTGGTCATATACGAATTGATTTTTGGTCGGAAATATGAGTGTTCACATATTTTCTTTTGGAGTGATATTTAAGGAACTACGATTAAGGTTTTTCGAATAAAAAAATGGATTTTAAAACTTTCTCAATTGGACTGCATTTAATGATCAACATGGAAAATATATGTCATCACATAATTTCACTATTTTTGTTTTTAAAATTTTGAAAATACATATTAAAAATCTAGAGAACCTTTCCAACGAAACCAGTTACACACATATGTATATATAATACTAGGTTTTATTCAAATAGACCCAACCTGCAATTACTCCACAATGACTTTTACTTACACAACAACTTACTTTTCAATGACCACAACAGAGCAACTTTTTAACTCCCTATTTGTAAGTCTTATTAGAACCGATCGTGGGAAGAACTTGCCTCCAATGTAGTACTGTTAAATTAATTAATAGTTATAAATTTTCAATTTCCTTTTCAAAACCATTATCAAGTATACATTGTAATTCTGAGATTTCCTTTATCAATTTATATAAAAAGTTGTAGACAAAACAAAGAACATTAGAAAACATATTTGTTTATTTAATCTCCTAAATACACCAATAGAAATATTAATAGATCCAAAATTTTCTCAGAAAACTATTATCAGATAAACAAAAAAAAAAAAGAAATGTAGATTGTACTTCTCAGATTTTCTTTATCAATTTATGGTAGAAATATTGACAAAAAAGTCGGTCAAAACAAACAGCAATAAAATACTGTTTGCGGTTAAAACTAAATATGATTCACAATCGAATCTAAATATTCTTTGTTGATTAAAAAGTGCGATAAGAAAGCTATTTAACAAACAAAACGGACCTATAAATACGAAAGTACTTCTGTAAGTCCACCACAGTCTGAAAAAGAAACATCAAGCGTTTATATCTAAAAATAATTCAAGAAAAATGTTTAAAGTCAATAAACTTTTTGTAGCAACATTAATAGCCTTCATTGCCATCGTTTCTTGTAAAACTGATGCTATCGAGGTAACCGAAGTTGAAAAGAATGTTAAAGACACAAGTCCAGCAGAGACTGCTGTCTTAACACAGTTGAAAGTGATTGAATCGGATTCTGGTGCTGCCATCTATACATACAAATGTACCATTGGTACTTATCAATCAAGTAAGTTGGGAAAATAATATGTTTTATCTTTAGTATAGGTTTTAATATATAAAACAATTCTAATTTTAGATCGTTTGGCTTGTACTGCTCATGATAGCACTTCATGGAACTCTCTACACAATGTTGAATTAAAATTACGTTGTCCCAGAAGTGGAAGTGGCCTTACTTTGTCCTATGTTGAAATCATTTATTCGGTCTCATCTCCAAGTGTAAATTGTTTTGTTAATGAGGGAGCAGTTGGTCTGGGTTACATAGGCGTAACTGTTAATGCTTGGAATACTCTGATATTTAATTACTCTGCAAATTTTTATACCTACTAAATGTTTAAGGATTTAAATAATTAATCTCGTTTTCAAATAAAAGTGATAATACTATATAGTAAGATTATGTATATTTCATGAATGTAAACTAATTCCGTAGGGGTTTAAAGTTAATACGTTTTATTTTAAAGTTGATTATTAAATAATATTTTTAAATTATTGGTTCCTGGGATTTTTCGAAAATAGTTAAGAAATTCATATGGAGTCAATAACATTTTGTAAGGTTTTCATTCATACATTGGGCAAATATTTTTATCTAATATGAACAGTCACCCAATTTAATCAATAGCAATACATTGTAATTCTGAGAGTTACTTTATCAATTTGAATAAAACAAATTTAAACAAAACAAATAACAATAGTAAATATATTTATTTATTTAATCGTACAGATAGGGCCCAATAACTCAACCCCTGATTATGGTTTAACCGATTGATATGTATATTTCCAATTAAAATAATTTTTGGATGACAACTCTAAGGACTTCTGTGAAAACTTATATAGGATAAATAATTGTTAGATTTTCTTTAGCCATTCACAGTACAGAATATTGATGAAAATGTCTGTCAAAACAAACAACAATTAATGTCATTTCAAATATGATTCACAAATGAATCTAAATATTGTTTGTTGATTAAGAAATTGCGATAAGAAAATAATTTCAATTTATTAAACAAATAAATACGAATTCCATTAAATAAGTCCGGCACAGTCTTAAATGTAAACATCAAGTATTTAAATCTAATAATGAATCAAGAAAAATGTTTAAATTAAAACAATTTTTTGTGACAACTTTGATTGTTTCATTAGTCATAGTCCCCTGCAAAACTGATAATATCGAGGTAATAGATGTCGAAAATAATGTTACAGACAGTCCAGCAGAGACTGCTGTCTTAAAACTGTTGAATGTAACTGAATCAGATGCCGGAGCTGTCATATACACATATAAATGTACCGTTGGTACATATCAATCAGGTGATTTTTGATAATATGCAATACGTTTTTTATATTAGTTACCTATTTAAATTATACTATAACTTTAGGTCGTTTGGCTTGTATAGCGAATAATAACACTTCATGGAACTCTCCTCATGATGCTGAATTAAAATTACGTTGTCCCAAAGTTGGAAGTGGCGTAGTTTTGTCTTATGTTGAGATTCTTTACTCTGTAACATACCCCAATGTAAAGTGTTATGTTAATGAGGGTGCTGTTGGTTTGCGTTACATTGGCGTAACTGTTAATGCTTGGAATACTTTGATGTTTAATTACTGGGCGTATTTTTATACCTTTTAAAAATTTAAGAATCTTAATATTTAATCTCGATTTATAAGAAATGTGATAATGCTAATAGCTTTTTATATATGTATTTAAATAATATATTACAAATTATCAAGGCCGAATAGGTTTCAACCTGATTTTCTGATAAGGTAACACAGTAAGGGAGTAAAATGCTTACATAATAGCATTTTAAGTCATTATTCTTAGACGTTGAAGACAGTTGAGGCAACAACTTACCACGTTCGCTTATAAATATGGAGTTCGGTAAGTACTTACAACGAACATTGGCAAATAAGGACTTAAGTAAGTAGTTTTGTTTTTAATAAGAAAAAAAATCCAAGTTCTAATAGCAAGTCCACTGCGATTACTATTAGTTTTGACTTGTTTTCGTTTTTGTAAAAAACAACATTCAATAACAAAATGCCAAGGAAAAAACGTAAGTACTTGCATATATAGTTATTTGTAAGTCATTACTAGACTACTTCTTGGTAATACAGGCGGTATTTATTAATTATTCAAAAGTAAGTTCTAGTCAGTAAGTACATGTCATTACCATGTGTGTACATACATATGTATGTACAATTGTACACATCTGACTAAGCTAAAACATTTCATTTAGATAAACCGAAAGTTAGATTTGTTAAAATAAATCCGATGTTAAAAATTCTAGACAAATATATGCTTTTAATAAGATAAGATTCACTATGTAACCACTAACTATACACTTTTTCCATTTATGAAGGTATGTATATAATACAGCCAATTTTGAATTTTCATTAAACAATTTTAAATATTTATGAAATACACTCTGCCTAAAAGTATGCTAAAAATCATATTTTTTAAAATTGTAATATAAAATTTGTTCTACAAAATTTTGATAAATAAATAATTAAGAAAGTATAGTCGGGCGTGACCGACCATATGATATCCTACACCAGTTATGAATATTAAATGTGATTTATTTTTCATAATAAAGCATTTATCTTTTATTACCTTGTTCCGATACATTTAAGCAATTTATGGATGAAAAACAAATTTTTTGAAAGAGGCTTTATATGGGGGCTAGGGGCAAATATGGACCAACCCTGATAAAATTTTGTGAATATATTTATATGTACATAATATTTTATTGTGCTGAATTTCATCGCGATATTTGTGTTTATAAGTTAATTTTGGACATTCAAGAAATTTTCTGAAGGGGACTTTGTATGGGAGCTAGGGTCAAATGAGAACCGATCTCTATGAAATTTGGCAAGGTCATCAAGACTCGTATTATCGTATAAAAGGCTCGTATAAAACTTAGTTGTGCCGCTTTTTATCAATATACAGGTATTTTTTAAATAATTATGAGCTCAGAAGCCCTTTTCGGGGCGTTCTGTTGTATGGGGGCTAGGTGAACTAATGGACCGATTTTAACCATTTTCAAGAGGCTTCGTCCTTGGGCCAAAAAAAAGAGTGTGTGCCAAATTTCATCCAATTGTACCTTGCGCACAAGGTTTACATGGACAGCCAGCCAGACGGACGGACGGACAGACGGACATAGCTTAATCGACTCAGAAAACGATTCTAAGCCGATTGGTATACTTTAAGGTGGGTATAGGACGAATATTTTTGTATGTTACAAACATCAGCACAAACCCTTACACCAATATTAATAATCGAATTTTTATTTATAACTAACAATACTAAATTATTATTATCGACTGTAAAACTAGTTAATAAATATATTTTAAGCATTACGTTTTTTTGTGCCTTTTCGAAATTTCCATAGCAACTAATATAAATTTTAAAATCTTTGTAATTATTATAGTACATATTACAATGATGTGTGTTTGTAATTAAAATGGGTGGACGTTGCACCTTTTATTATCGACTATTTCGACAAATATTGAACTTACAGTATAGTATACAATTGGGTGGGGTCTGAATAGTGGGCGTGGCATAATAATATATCGACAAAACCATATATGTGTAACTGACTACAATTAAAATTTTAATTATATCATCATTAAAAAAAAATCTAAACACCCTGTTTGTTATTGCATTTTAAAGATATACACACACTAAAAATCAGTTCCTTCTAAATTTCTACTGATAAGTTTATTAAACATAAATAATAACAATTAAATTGAGTGTAAATAGTAGACGAGAACTTTTGGTAAATAAATTTCTGTTCAAACAGTTTTCGACAAAGTCTTGAAACGAACAGAACGGCTGTTAACCAAAATAAAAATATTATCAGTCACGGCTACACCTGTCGAGGAAATATTTTTGTTTTCAAGAAAACAAGTACTCGTGATAACGAAACAAAATCATAGAATATCGGGAAATTACTAAAAAAATTCAAATATAATATGAAATTATCCCTAAAATCATAATGAAATATGCTAAAATTTATTTAATATTAATAATTATCTGTCAAATATGCTGTGAAATAAAAGGTGATAAAATTAAAATTGTCAGTTTAAATGCCTGGAATTTGTCAAATGAAAATGGAAGTAAGTTTCAAAACAATTTAATGACAAATAAATAAAAAGAAACTGTTATAAATCAATATTTAAAAATATTTTAACATAAAAATTTATTATTAAATCGTAATTAAGACAGTGTTCTTAAAATATTATTTATAATTATCAAAGTTAAATATAAAACATATTGAAAATAAAGTCTTAATATATTTATCAATGTCAATTGACACTTCAATATAGGGAGAGAGTGCGGGAGATAGAGAGAAAATTAAAATAACTTTCGTTTTATCTATCATTTAACCTGTTAAGGGGAAAAATTATAAACAATAGGGAATAGTGAAATAAATAATAGTTAAATTGCCTGGTCTCCAGGGATAATGGAATAAATATAATGGTTGGTTCTTTAAATATTTTAAATAAAGAGAAACTGAATTATACTAAATAAACTATTGAAATATAATTTTCTTTAGACATAAAACAGTTTTTTTGTAGTTTTTAAATGACAGGTCTAACTTTAATCGTTTGGCTCTTTTTTCAATACTTTTCTCGATTTGGTGTCTTATGATCTCAAGAATTTGTTTATTAACAATGGATATACAACTTATTAAAAGACGTTACATAAATTTTGATTAAAATGGGTTAATTTAATAACATCACTCTCTTTGGTTTAACTCTTTTTTATTTAGAACATAAAAAGAGAAGTACAAAGTGTAATCAATAACAATTCAAAAATTTAATTTTATATCAATGTGATGAACACAAACGCTCTCGGCGATAAGATAAGAAATTGTAACTCTAACAATTATTAATCAATTTTAGCGTGCAAAATTAGGTATTTGTTAGTTTTTTTTTATTGACTGTTTATATACAATTAATAACCTTAAGGTGCAGTAGCAATCTTTACACAACTTTATTCTGAGAGTAATAATAAAATAAAAATTAAATTTAGAAATCTACATTTTTAAGAAAAATACACTAGACTAATAGGGGACAATATTCGTAAGAGGGTGACCATAGGTTTAACATACTTAAAATTCGCGTTGATAGTGAAGTTTGTAAATTGGTCAAAATTTGATATCTAGATTCTATTGGGATAAATTCAAATTTTGGAATATCTAGTCTATAGTCTAGTCTATAGTCTAGTCTATAGACTAGTCTATAGTCTAGTCTATAGTCTAGTCTATAGTCTAGTCTATAGTCTAGTCTATAGTCTAGTCTATAGTCTAGTCTATAGTCTAGTCTATAGTCTAGTCTATAGTCTAGTCTATAGTCTAGTATAGTCTATAGTCTAGTCTATAGTCTAGTCTATAGTCTAGTCTATAGTCTAGTCTATAGTCTAGTCTATAGTCTAGTCTATAGTCTAGTCTATAGTCTAGTCTATAGTCTAGTCTATAGTCTAGTCTATAGTCTAGTCTATAGTCTAGTCTATAGTCTAGTCTATAGTCTAGTCTATAGTCTAGTCTATAGTCTAGTCTATAGTCTAGTCTATAGTCTAGTCTATAGTCTAGTCTATAGTCTAGTCTATAGTCTAGTCTATAGTCTAGTCTATAGTCTAGTCTATAGTCTAGTCTATAGTCTAGTCTATAGTCTAGTCTATAGACTAGTCTATAGTCTAGTCTATAGTCTAGTCTATAGTCTAGTCTATAGTCTAGTCTATAGTCTAGTCTATAGTCTAGTCTATAGTCTAGTCTATAGTCTAGTCTATAGTCTAGTCTATAGTCTAGTCTATAGTCTAGTCTATAGTCTAGTCTATAGTCTAGTCTATAGTCTAGTCTATAGTCCAGTCTATAGTCTAGTCTATAGTCTAGTCTATAGTCTAGTCTATAGTCTAGTCTATAGTCTAGTCTATAGTCTAGTCTATAGTCTAGTCTATAGTCTAGTCTATAGTCTAGTCTATAGTCTAGTCTATAGTCTAGTCTATAGTCTAGTCTATAGTCTAGTCTATAGTCTAGTCTGTAGTCTAGTCTAGTCTATAGTCTAGTCTATAGTCTAGTTTACAGTCTAGTCTATAGTCTAGTCTATAGTCTAGTCTATAGTCTAGTCTATAGTCTAGTCTATAGTCTAGTCTATAGTCTAGTCTATAGTCTAGTCTATAGTCTAGTCTAGTCTATAGTCTAGTCTATAGTCTAGTCTATAGTCTAGTCTATAGTCTAGTCTAGTCTATAGTCTAGTCTATAGTCTAGTCTATAGTCTAGTCTATAGTCTAGTCTATAGTCTAGTCTATAGTCTAGTCTATAGTCTAGTCTATAGTCTAGTCTATAGTCTAGTCTATGTCTAGTCTATAGTCTAGTCTATAGTCTAGTCTATAGTCTAGTCTATAGTCTAGTCTATAGTCTAGTCTATAGTCTAGTCTATAGTCTAGTCTATAGTCTAGTCTATAGTCTAGTCTATAGTCTAGTCTATAGTCTAGTCTATAGTCTAGTCTATAGTCTAGTCTATAGTCTAGTCTATAGTCTAGTCTATAGTCTAGTCTATAGTCTAGTCTATAGTCTAGTCTATAGTCTAGTCTATAGTCTAGTCTATAGTCTAGTCTATAGTCTAGTCTATAGTCTAGTCTATAGTCTAGTCTATAGTCTAGTCTATAGTCTAGTCTATAGTCTAGTCTATAGTCTAGTCTATAGTCTAGTCTATAGTCTAGTCTATAGTCTAGTCTA